TCGAGAACACACAACAGGTTATTTTTTAGCTATTTATTTATCTATTTTTTTTCTTTTTACAGATTTGGCTCTTCATACCATTTTTATTTATCTATTTATCTATTTATTATTATCATATTTTCTTTTTACTACAATGTCAAAAGCAACAAGAGAGGCTGTTTTATTTATTTATTTACCTATTTATTATTTTTTTCTTATCATTTACATAATTGGCGTTTCATACCAATGTCAAACGCAGCAATAGTGGCTGTTTATTTTTTTATTTATCTTTTTCTTTTTCTTTTTACAGATTTGGCGCTTCATACCACTTTTATTTATCTATTTATATTATCTATTTATTTATTTATTATCTATTTATTTATTTATTTTCTATTTATCTATTTATTATAATTTTTTCTTTTAACAGAATTGGCGTTTCATACCAATGTCAAAGGCAGCAAGAGAGGCTGTTTTATTTATTTATTTATCTATTTATTATTTTTTCTTCTTTTTTTTACAGAATTGGCGCTTCATAGCATTTTTATTTATCTATTCATCTATTTATTTTTATCTATTATCTAATTATTTATATATTTATCTATCTATCTATCTATTTATTATCTATTTATCAAGTTATTATATTTTTTTTCTTTTTACAGATTGGCGCTTCAATACCATTTTTTATTTATCTATTTAACCTATTTATTATCTATTTATCTATGTATTATCTTTTTTTCTTTTTATTATCATTTTTTCTTTTAACATAATTGGCGTTTCATTCCAATGTCAATAACACCAAGAGAGGCTGTTTATTTTCTTTTTTTTACTTTTCTTTTTCACAGAATTGGTGCTTCATACCATTTTTATTTATTATTATCTATTTATCATCTATTTATTCTATTTTTATCATTTTTCTTTTTACAGCAATTGGCGTTTCATTACCATTTTTATTTATTATTATCTATTTATCATCTATTTATCTATTTATTATCATTTTTTCTTTTTACAGCATTGGCGTTTCATACCATTTTTATTTATTATTATCTATTTATCATCTATTTATCTATTTATTATCATTTTTTCTTTTTACAGCATTGGCGTTTCATACCGATGTCAAAGGCGGCGAGAGAGGCTGGTTCGCATAATGCTCTCTGGTCGGAAATTGATTTTCGCGGCGGCTGGTGAGGCCGTCCAGGGCGACAGAGGTTTACCTTTAAAAAGTAACGGGGATTTTGATCTCTGCCTGTCTGTTCGGTTTCTTTTTTTTTCTCGTTTTCTGTTTTTTGGTTCTCTTTCTCTTCGTATTGTTAGTTATTGTTTTTTCTGTCTGTTACTGTTTCTCTCATACGTACGCTCTTTTACCTTCTATTCCCACCTTCTTTCCCTCCATTTCTCTTCCCTTCTCCCACTCCTTCCTTCTTTTCCCTCCTCCTTTTCTCTCCCTCCTACCTCGCCTCCTCCCCTTCCCTCCTTTTCCCTCCTCCCTTCCCCTCCCCTTCCCTCCCTCCCTCTTCCCTTTCCCCACTCCTTCCCTCCTTCCTTTCCCCCTTCCTACCCTTTCCTCCCTTCCCCCTTTCCCTCCTCCTCCTCATCCACTTCCCTCCTTTCTCTCCTTTTCCTCATTCCTCCTCCCACCCTTCCCTCTCTCTCCCTCCCTCCTCCCTTCTCTCCTTTCTCTCCTTCCTCCTCCCACCCTTCCCTCCCTCTCCTCCCTCCCTCCTCCTTTTCCCTCCTCCCTCTTCCTCACCTTCCCTCCCTTCCTCCCTCCCTCCCTTCCCCTTCCCCTTATCCTTATCTTCCTTATTCACCAAAACGTTCAAAATGGTTTCTTGTCACGCAGAGAACGAGGCGGCAAATAATCACGACATTGCAACTTAGGTGTCTCGGCGTGTCTGTTTTCTTCTTCTTTCTTCTTCTCTTCTGTTTTGTGTGTTGTGCTGTTTTTTGCTTTTGTTGTGCCTGCTGGTTGTGTTGTGTGTGTGATTGTGTTTGGTGTGTTGTGTGTGTTTGTGTGTGTTGTGTGTTTGTGTTGTGTTGTGTGTTTGTGTGTGATGTGTGTTGTGCTTTGTCTGTTGTGGTGTGTTGTGTGTGCTGTGTTTGTGTGTGTGTGTTTGTGTTTTTGTGTGTGTGTTGTGTGTGTGATCTGTGGTGTTGTGTTTGTTTGTTTGTGTGTGTGTGTTGTGTGTGTGTGCTGTGTGTTTGTGTTGGTGTGTGTTTGTGTGTGTCTGTCTGTGTCTGTTGTTCTATCTTTTCTCACTTTGTTGTGTGTCTTTCTGTTTTCTGTCTATCTGTCTGTCTCTGTGTCTGTCCTGTGTGCGTATGCGTCTCTCTCTTTCTGTCTATATGTCTGTCTGTCTGTCCTCTCTCTCCCTCCCTTCCTCTCGCTTTCTCTGTCTCTCCTCTTCTATTCTTCTTATTCCTCTGTTTATCTTTACATTTCTTTTGAATGACGCTTATCGAAATAAATATTATATCTCCTCGTTATGGTATCGCTTCTTAATTGAATTCGTCATCATCAACGCGTAGATTTTAAAAATGATTTTAAAAAATCTCATTCATTCATTAATCTACCATGCATTCACTCGTTCATCCATCTCTTTATTATTTTACCTTTTATTTATTTATTCATGATTTTATTTATTCATTCCTATGTCCGGTCGCATCTCGTCATTTCGTCGCGCGGCGTCTCTCGCGTTTTCTGCGAACCGATCAAATGTCGACGCGGTGACAAATTACTTTTTGGCCGTTGCATGTCGGACGCTTTCTCGTCACTTCCCTTCATTTGGCGGGTCTCTACTCTTTCTTTTCTTGTTCTTATTTCTCTTTTCTTTCTTTTTTTGTTCTTTATTCTTTTGTACTTGTGATCTCTTTTTTCCCTCTTTTTACTTCGGTTATCTTTTTTTTATTATTATTTCTTTATCTGATTTCGATTTTTGTTTATTTCTCATATCTTCAGATTCTCTTTTCCTCCTTTCGCTTCTCTTCTTTTATCTATTCTTTTCTCCTCTCCTCCTTTTCTGTCCTCTTGTTTTCTCTCCTCTCTGACTTGAATGTACTTTTTATGTTTTTTTCTTTTCGTAAACATGCAATAACTTCATCATTCTCCATTAACATTATTGTAGTCCTAACCTCGTCACACAACGTGGTCTCACCCTAGAACTGCCTCCAGATGGCAACACCCTTCACTATACAATATATATGGTGTGTATTTCCAACCTCACGCACCTTTTAGTTCGATAACCAACAGCTGTCCTTTTTCCCCTCCCCCCTCTACCCTAAGCTCTCACCCGCCTCCTCCCCTCCTTTCAACGCCACCATTACACCCCCCTTATTTCAGTCCTCTACCCCCCTCCCTCCCTACAGGTAATCATTCCCCCTTTTCTTCCCTGTAAGTAGAAAAGGTAAGAACGAAAATGAATATTTACACGAATACGAAGAAATGTAATTCGACGCGGTTTACGAATATATATCTTGGTCCCATGAAATACCCATTCGAATGCCCGGCCAAACTAACATCTCTCGGTATGTTGTGAATATTCTCTTCATTTTATTACATTTTCTACATTTGTCAAGGAATAGGTCCTTATAAGTCGCCTTCCTCTCCGGTCCTTTTTTTCCCATTCAACCCTTCTCTTCTCCCTTTCACTCCATTGGCCCTTCCTTATCTCTCTTCAAACCTCCCCAAAAACCATAAACCATATGGGTATGTGGATATGGATTGAGATTTCAGAGTGGGTGAGTGGAGAACCCCTACCCTTTCTTGGTCAGACAGTGCAGGCTTCCACCAAACCTCTCCCCCATTCCGTCTCCCAACCCTATCTTCTCCTCCCCCCTTACAATCCACCAGGCCTTCCCAACTGCCCTCAGCCCCTCCCACCTCCCAACCCCGAGTACTCCTTACCCCTAGCCCCCCTGTCCTACTTCTGGTGTGTGTTGTCACCCCCCCTACCCACAAGGACACACAACCTACAACGTAAACACTACTTTCCCTTCAGCTTGGCTCGCTCATGTATCGCTTTAAGACATACGCTAAGGAGGTTCACTGGGGGGGGTCGCCCCCCCCCAAAGGGAAAAAAAAAAAAAAAAAAAAAAAAAAAACAAATCCCAAAGGAGGATCACAGAAGTTCAAGGGGGTTCAAGATGATTCGAAGGGGTTCACTGAGGTTCAAAAGTCAAGAGGATCAACTAGAAGTTCAAGGGGGTTTCAAGAAGATTCAAAGGGGATTTCAAGTCAAAATGGATCATGAGAAGTTCAAGATGGTTTTCAAAAAATCAGTAATGGGGGTTCACATCATTTTCGAGAGGGGTTTATGGACGTTCGTTAAGGACCTTCAACTCGGGATTTGATGATGCTTATGTTCATGATTCGGAAATACTCGAAGTGCATGAAGATCGACTCTGTAGATCAGTATGTCTTTCTGTTTTCTGAAAGGATTGTTTAGGATATGAAGTTTCCTTTGCTATTTCACGTTTTTTTTTCCATTTCTTATATTTTCTCTATTTTTTCTCTATACGATTTCGGTCTGTCTGTCAGTCTATTGGTCTGTCTCTGGCTCAGTCTGTATGCTTCTCTCTCTCTCACTTATTCACGCCCTCTCTATCTGTCTATCAGCTTCTTAACGGAACTCGACCAGGCAGCGTCAGTCACTCCCTGTCAGTCATTCACGAGATCGATTGTATGGTTCCCTCAGTCTTTGCAACATTAATGGCCCTTCGAGTCACGTGCTCAGGGCTGTCATTTCTGCGACAGTGTTATGCGCTTCGGTGGCCTTTCCCGATTAATGTTCGGGGCCATGGATGTACACGTGTGCACTAATATAGGGATTAGCGTACATTTACCGAGGTCCCCGTCCTGGCTTCGGGGTGTCCTGCAGCGGTACTTTTCTCTTCGGTCACTCTGGTGAAAAGTACACCAAAATCAGGGAAAAGTATGAATGACTCGACCACGTGCCGAGGCAGCGACGTCCGATGCGGAGATCCTCAGGTTGGCCTCCGGTGGGCGGGACTTCGGCGCAACTCGGGGCGGGCAAGGGTCGCTCTCCGTCGCTCAAGCCGCCCTCTTTTGCCCACCTGAAGGGCGAGCGGGCAAGCAGCCGTATCTTCGAAGGCCGCCGTGCCTCCATCGCGGCGAATGAATGCCGGTAATTAGGCTAACTTTCATTGGCACCCCTTCCCGGCACCGAGTAACGATCGCGGAGGGCCGGGCGGGCCTCAGCGCCACAGAGAACGGCGGGCGCGCGGCCCTTAGTGCTCTCCGCGACGCGATCGTGGCTGGTGGCAAGGCTCAGGCCCCGCGCTGCTCCCCCCGTCGCTCCTGGTCCGCGCTCACGCCTTCTCGCACCAAGAGCTCCTGCAGGACTCTCCACGGCCGCCGAAGGAGACCATGCTAGAGAGCGGCCCGCGGCGCTCGCTCTCAAGTTCCGTGTCGCGAGAGCTCACCGCGAAGGCTGACTGAGGTAAGGAGGGAGGATGCTTTGAATAAGGATTTTTCAAGTGCCAGCGGTGCAGTCCTCTTATTATTATGGGACACCTGGTCGTGCTTCAAAACGTGACCTCTGCAGGTATAAATGTAACACTCGCCAAGAACTTGTGGGAAATATATATGGCCATGATATTTCGTTTATTCAACTAAGTAAATTCATCTGCATCTCATCTCGTCATGCACAGGAGCGAGGAGTTGGAACTTTTTTTAATGTAAATATAAGCTCGCTCAGAACTTGTGACGACAGAAATGAAGTACACCAATTTCTAACAGCACTTAGAGACTGCTTGTTACCTTGGAGGGCAATTTGCAATTATTATCTTGATCGTGCATTTTACGCAACATAAAGATTAATCCATGCCATTAGCCGCTGTCTTTAAAAAAGGAAAGAAAAAGGAAAGAGGGGGAAAATATTTAAACAAATAATGTTTACCTTTGTTAATCACAACTGAAATATGGCAAAGTAAGTCCGTAGATTAACGCACCATAATACCCACATCCTAAACGGTAGCAACGTAAAATATCAAACTTTTCATTACTGTCCCATAATTTCCCGACTGTTCCCCATCGCAATGCGAAAACGACCATAACCTCATGCTCTTTATCCTGCCAGCAACACCGTCCCTCGTGCCTCTTCGAACCCACATACCCCAATATATCGTACAAGAAACTGAGAAGAATAAGTCCCGTTTCCCTAATACCCTGCTGCACTGTGAGCAATGCAATATCGATTGGAGTTTCCCCGATCCATTCATGCAAGCGCGCACACGCAGAGGGGCAGCCGCAAGCACATGCACGAGACGGATCCTTTAGCCTGCATCCTTAGTCCCTCCAGTCCCATTGCCCTTCGTAAAACATCCTCATCCTCATTCTTCTCTTTTCTTTTTTGTATTCTTTGTTGTCTGTTGAGAGAAAGGGGGAGATATTCAAACACTGAATAGAGAGAAGAGAGAGAGGGGGGGGGTTAGCGAATGAGAGAGAGAGAGGGGGGGGGTTAAGGAATTGAGAGAGAGAAGAGAAAAAAGAGGGGTTGCGGATAGAGAAGAGAGGAGAGAGAGAGAGAGAGAGAGAGAGAGAGAGAGAGAGAGAGAGAGAGAGAGAGAGAGAGAGAGGGGAGGGGGGAGAAGAGAGGAGAGAGAGAGAGAGAGAATATTGTTGTAATATGTATATGCTTTTCTGTGTTCAACTGGAGAGCAGCGACGGGCTGTTGGCAACTTCATTCCCTTCGACTTCTGGTGATGAGTCATGCAGATCTCTTCTGGATTTTCGTGTCTTTTCTCTTTTCTTTAATTTTTCTACGTTTTTTTGTTTGTTGTTTAATTTAGAATTATCTTCTCTTATTCTTTCTTCCTTTCCTTTTTCTTTTCTGCAGTAGGAATAAATCATCGATTCCTTTCCATGGTTGTTTATTTCATTTTAACACTCTTTCTCATTCTCCTTTTTTTTCTCTCTTTTTCGTCCTCTTCCTTTCTTTTCCTTTTTCTTCTCTCCCTCCCTCTACATTCTCCCTTTTTCTCCTAACTTTTCGTTCGTCCTGCTTCTCCTCCTTTTCCTTTCTTCCCTTTCCTTTTTTTTCTTCTTTTTTTTCTTGTTTTTTTGTGTCAATTTATGTTTGAGCGTGGTCCAGGCAAAGGTTTTATCGGATGATCTATTACAAAATGAAATAGAGCGAGATTTGTGTCAGGTCTAACTGATAATCGAAATGTCAAATTTCGTTACGCCCTGAGATCGGGGAAGTTTAGATTGTGGAGTATGTAGGACATTTGGATAAGGGGCGATGATGAGGATTGAAGAAAAAAGGGTTGGGCGGAGCGAATAAGGAAGGAATAGAGGAGGAAGAGAAGTGAGGAGGATTAACGGATGGACGAGAGAGTAGAGAGAGATAAGAGAAAAGAGAAGGAGAAGAGACATGGTCAGAGAGGAGATTTGAAGATGAGATTGGAGAGAAGAGAGACGGAGCATTGACGAAAGAAAAAATCACTCGTGTTGAGGTGGGTTTGACACGGATTTGCGAGACATACAACGAAGTTTGGCTTTTCGAATAGAAAGACCACAGAGAGAGAGAGCAGAAGAGAGGAGAAGAGAAGAAGAGAAAAAAAAAGACTGAGTGAGAGGAGAGAGAGAAAGAGAGAAGAGCCGGGAGAGACGGATGAGAGGAGAGAAGAGAGGGGGAAGGGAGAGAGTGCTTGGGAGTGAATAGGCGGGGAGAAGAGAGGTAAGATGGATTTCGAGATGAATTCTGAAAACGAACGAGAAGTGATTGCACGTGAGATGAGAGTGAGAGTGGAGAGTCGAGAGTGTGAAGAGGAGGAGGACGGAGAGAGAGAGAGAGAGAGGAGAGAAAGAGAGAGAGAGAGAGAGACGAGGAGAGAAGAGAGAGAGAGCGAGGGCAGAAAGAAGAGCGAAAGAAGAGACCGATCGACAGAGACGGAAAGAGAGGAGAAAGAAAGGAAAAGAGAGAATGGAAAGATAATAGAAACTCACGAGGGCATAGGGCCGAGAGAGAGAGAGAGAGGGAAGGAACGTGAAGAGGACGAGAAGAGGGAAGGATGATAAGGAGATGAAGCATGAATGAATATTGGGAAGGAACGGAGAGATAGTAGAGAGAGAGGGGGAAGGAGACAGAGAGAGAGAGAGGAAAGATGAGACGAGAGAGAGAAGAGACGGGAAGGAGATAGAGAGAGAGGAGAGCGGAAGGTTTGAGAGGACCACAGAGAGATCAACGAGAGGAGAGGGAAGGAGAGCGAGAACGAGAAGAGTACCTAGAGGGAAGGATGAAGGAGAATGAGAGAGGGGAAGGAGATGGGAAGAGAGAGAGAGGGAAGGAGAGAGAAGACCCGAGAATGGGGGAAACAAAGGACGAGACGAAGGATGCATCGGTGATTTTTTTTCAGTTATATACACCGGAAATCTTTATTTTCCCACAAATATAAGATGAGGTGAAGATGGCAGACCGAAGAAGAAGACAGACGATGAGAGAGAGAATGGAGAAGATGGAGAGAGCGAGAGAGAGAGAATGTCCTGGACACATAGAGAGAGAGAGACGAGAGAGAGAGAGAGATGAGAGAGAGAGATAGATTGAAAGAAGTAGAGTGGATGTAGCTTTACCCATCAGCAAGACAGATGAGACGGAGTGAGAGACGAGTGCGATGGGAGGTGATAGACTTGAGACGAGAAAGATGCAGGAGAGAGAGTTGAGAAGAATAGACTATTAGCAGAGACAGAATCAAGAGAATAAGACAGACACGGAAGAGGAGAGAGAGACAGAATTGAGACGAGAGACGAGACGGGAAGCCGACGAGGAAGCCACGAGAGCGAGCCGAGAGCGAGAGCAGCAGGAGAGGGTGAAGAGGGAGAGTAGAGATGAGAACGAGGAGAGAGAGAGATTGAGAGACTACTTTGAATATATGAGTAGAGAGAGAAGACTAGAGAGAGAGAGAGAGAGATCTAGATAGAAAGGACAGCGAGAGAGAGAAGAGAGAGAGAGACGAGATTAACGAGAGAGAGGGGGAGGACAGAGAGAAAGAGAGGAGTTTGAGAGAAAGTGAATTATTAAGTGGGTCGACGTGAATGCATTAAAAAAAAATGAGTATATATATATCATATATATATTATTATATATATTATATATATATAGTATATATATTATATATATATATTATATATATATGTGTATTATATTATAATATATAATATATATATATATATATATATATATATATATATATATTATATATAATATAATATATATATATATATATATATATGATATATATATATATATATATATATATATGTATATGTATGTATATATATATTATATGTATATATAATAATATATATATATACTATATATATATATATATATAGTATATATATATATATATAACTATTATATATATATATAATATATATATAAGGTATATATAATATATATATATTCATAGTTATTATATAGATATAATATCACTATATATAAATTCGTATACTATGTAGTTATATATATATGATATATATATATATAATACTACTCATATATTATATATATATATTTATATATATTATATATATATTTGTGTATAGATAATAATATCCTATTGAATATTATATATATATCTTAAAATGTAATATTATAATATACTATCTTTTATCGTATCATTACTATATGTATGTTATTGTATATATATATATTCACCAATGTGACTAATATAATATATTAATATAATATATATATATATATATATATTATTATATAATATTAATATATATATATTACTATATATATTATATATACGTATTATATATAAGTATATATTACTTATTCATATCTATCTATTAATGACTTAATATAGTTCATAATAAATATCTATAATAGTTCTATATTATATGGATTCATATGTAGCTATATAACTTATAGCTTTACTATAAGTTATTAGTATGATATATAATATATATATACTATATCATATTTATTAGTGAAATTGTATATATACTATTATATATATCGAACCTGTCAATTTGCTTTTCAGCATTTCCATCTTTATCAACCTGTTCAATTACCAGCAAGTTTCTTATCCATTAACCTGTCAACCTTTATCCCAATCAGTATTATCAAACCCCTCGTCATATCAACCTTCCAGCCCTTGTCAGAGCTTGCCTAACACGTCATCAACTTAATCAATTCTCCCGAGTCATTCCCTTGCCAACAGCTCATCCTCACCAATCCCTGTCAATTCTCCAAGTCAATACCTCATCAACCTGTTTCAACTTTCCAGCTCTCTCTCTCACGGCATCAATTCCTGTCAAAGGTACTTTCTCCTTCGCTAGAATAAACCCGACAATTCACTTCGTTATTTTTCTTTTTGAACTTCAACCAATTTTCCTTTCTCGCGACAGAGGAAGGAGAAATGTATTATCGTCCAGCCTTTATTTACCCTACTTTTTCCATCTAATTTTCCCTTTTGTCTTTACTAT